GTGGACTCCCGCCCTGGTCCTGCTGGCCCCACTATTGCTGATACAAGCCAGGATGCCATTGGTCTTTTTGGCCACCTGGGCACACTGCTGACTCATATTCAGCTGGCTGTCAACCAACACCCCCAGGTCCTTTTCCACCAGGCAGCTTTCCAGCTGCTCTTCCCTGAGACTGTAGCGCTGCATGGGGTTGTTGTGACCCAAGTGCAGGACCCGGCACTGAGTCTTGTTGAACCTCGACTCATCGAGCCAGCCTGTCCAGATCCCTCTGCAGAGCCTTCCTGCCCTTGAGCAGATCAACACCCTGGCCCAACTTGGTGTTGTCTGCAAACTTACTGAGGGTGCACTTGATTCCCTCATCCAGATCATTGATGAAGATGTTAAACAGAACTGGCCCCAATACAGACCCCTGGGGAGCACCACTTGTGACTGGCTGCCAAATGGAGTTAACTCCATTCACCACCACTCTTTGTGCAGTCCACCCTGGCACCACTCATGTCGCCCCACCAGCTGTCCCTACCCTGCCTTGGGACTCCCAAGGTTTGGGGCTGAACCTGGTGGTCCCCATCCCTTGTTCCCAGTCCCAAAGCAAGCAACTGAGTAGCCCTACTATAGCCCCCATTGGGGGGGCTTCAAGGACTTGCCCCAAACCAATGAGGTCAGCCTGGCCGGGGGACAAGGCACATCGTCACTGCAGTGACAGTGAATATGACACCCCAGAAAGGAGATCTGAGGTGTCTCCCCGAGCCTGAGGGACCCCCAGACCTGGTGCTAGTGGCTCGGCAAACCATCCACTGCCAGGGAGAGGTGGGCCAGTCCAAGCTGATGCCCTCCGCCTCCCTGGAGGCCGCCAAGAAGGACTTTGAGAAGAAGTTTCGGGAGAAGACCAAGAACAGCTGGGCGGCGAGGGAGAACTTCATTGCCCAGCCAGGGAAGTACACGCTCATCGAGGTGCAGCCAGGGGCCGGGCAGGAGGCGGAGGTTGCCCTCAGGGTGAGTGTGCTGGGCAGCTGGGGTGTTACCATGGTGCAGTGCTCCTCACATCCCACCCCGGCCCACTGGGTACCAGGACATCCAAGTAGGTCAGCAGGATGGGGTGGGTTTTGGGAGGGGTCTGGGTGTGAGCTGAAACAGTCCATGGCCAGAGATTTGGGGCTAATGGGTTGAGATGGAGTGGGAGGGCATCCCAAGAGAGAACCATGGGCATCTCGGTGGCATTGGAGGGTGGCAAGTGGAGGCGGCGCCTGCCTGTCGCTCTGCTGCCTGGGGGCCGGGCTCTCCCACTGAGACAGGCAGCCCCGGTGCCGTGCCCCCATGGCCTCCCATGGGCTCAGAAGCAGTGCGGTGATGTTGGGGGTCTGCAGGTGGATGGCGTGGATGGGGACAAGGTCTACAAGCAGCGGGTGCTGCCCTGCACCTTGGACAAAGCCACACAGGACCTGGTGTCCCTCATCTTCAGCAGCGACATGTTCCAAGATGCCATGCAGACCATGAATATCGGTAGGATATGATGGGTGGCATGGTGTGGGTCTGAGGGCTGTGGCTGGGGGGTGCAGGTGAATGGGAAGAGGTATCAGTGGATTTTAGAGCATCCCTGCTGACAGCCCAGCACCTGGTAGGACTGTGGGCCCCTCATGCCAGGTGCCTGTGTGTGCCTGTGGTGATGCTGGAAGTTATTGGAAGTAGCCGTCGGGCAAGTGGAGTGGATGGGTTCACCTGCACTGTCCCCTGTCCCCCTGGCCAGATGTGAAGAAGATGCCGCTGGGGAAGCTGAGCAAGCAGCAGATCGCGAGGGGCTTCGAGGCGCTGGAGAAGCTGGAGGCAGCGCTGCAGGAGCAGCCCCCCCAGGCCACCCACCTGGAGGACCTCTCCTCCCAATTCTACACCATCATCCCCCATAACTTTGGGCGGGCACGGCCACCCCCCATCAACTCCCTCGACCTGCTGCGTGCCAAGAAGGACATGCTGTTGGTGAGATGCCGGGGCTCCTGGCTAATGGCATCCCTCCCCAAGGAGGGCTCCTGCCTGTGGGGCAGGGAGGTGCTGGCAGGAGGCTGGGCTTGCCCTGGTCCCCCTGGGCATGGTGCCCAGCACCGGCGGTCAGGATGTCCCTGGTCTGTGCCTGCCAGGTGCTGCCCGACATCGA